ATATTGTGTACCAATAAAAGAATTTAAGGGGCTGGGGATTTAGCTCAGTGGTTTCACCACCTTCTGTGCAAGCGCAAGGACCAGAGTTCGATCCCTGGTACCAAAAAAAAAAAAAAGAATTTAAGAAAACAAACAAAAAATAATGTTTTCCCAATAATTTTATTTTTCCTTTTGAAGTCCTTTTTAGTTACTTTTGCATGTTTGTATTTTTATGCTTATTTTGAAAGAATTTGGGTGAATTTGTGATCAGATCATTTGGACAGATTCAAATTTCCTTTAAAATAAATGATCACAAGTAATAATGCGTTAGATAGAAATTGCTTAGGGGTACTTAAGAGTTCTGTTTGAAATTCTACCAGAAGTCTTTGAGGGTGGAGATGAGGATGGAGGCAAACCATTCTGCAAATTGTGGAAGAGGATAATAAAAGAGGTTTCCCTCAAAGGACAATGAAATATTTATTCTAGATTGATGGAAAAAAGGTTAATTGGGAGAGGGGGAGGGAGAATATGCATTGCTTTTTGTTTTTAGTGCTTGTTTAAATAGAGCAGAATTACAAAAAAGAATTAAATTTGTAAGATTATTTAAAAACTCAGTAGAAATATAGTGGGACATGTTAGATTTTAATTGGTGAAAAGTTGCTGGGGAAATCACAGATTGCTACTGGCCCTTGCATTAGCTGTTATTTTGGTTAAAAAAAAAACTGGAGTGTTTTTTGTTCCATGTGGAAAATTGGTGAAACCACTATAGTAGGAGTATAACGCAGACTCTTAGCTTCATGTAACAAAATGAATTATATCAGTGTTGTTATGCATAATCAGATGTCATGATTTTACTTTTTTCGCATAGTCTGCCAATGTTAGTGTACTTAAAATTTCCTTTTTGTGCTGGATGGAAGTCAGAACCAAATATAGTTAATTGTTTTGACCCATGTAGATATAAGGATACTTGATGTGTATGTCTATTATATAAAGTGGCATATCATTTGCACATGATATATATGTATTTCCCATGTACTTTAAATCATCTAGATTATAATACCTAATAGAATGTAAATAGTTCTTGTACTTACTGTTTAGGAAGTATTGACAAAAAAGAACATGCACATATTTAGTACAGATGCATTTTTTTCCCCCAAATAATTTCAGTCCACACTTGGTTGCTAAACCATAGATAAGGAGCACTTACTGTATTACCTTAAGTTTTAGAAGATAAATGAAATTAATAAATTGACTCCATTTATTGAGTTCAGAGAATTTGAGTTGAACAAAAGCTCTAAAGCCTGTTCTATTTATTATTCAACAAATACCTAGTGTTCTTTCCATGTGTCAAGTGGTGCTATAGACCATCTTTCTGGATGGAAGTCATAGTCTGCTACAGTTCTTTCTTCGCTTCCTGTGGAAAATGAGCAATGTAGTCCTTTTATCCTTTCAAACCACCTCTTTTGATCTTTGTTTCACTACAGTAACTCAAGTTTTATCACTCATTGCTGCCTAGAAAATTTAACAACTTTGAAGTAGTGTCCTCCTTTGTATCTTAATTCACACTGATGACAAGATGCTTTTTGGAAAACAGATGTGATCCTGATATGCATGTAGTTGATACCCTACATTGATCCTCATTATATACTTCATCTTCATTTTTTAACCTCATATTCTGAATTTGTTTGCAGACTATTTGTAGTTCCCTGAACTACTCATATTGTTTCACATTTTCATGTCCTTGATCATACTTTTTTCTCTAGTTGCTAGAGAATATTTATTCTTTTAAAAATAATAATATTAAGAATACTACCACCAACAAAATTGATAGAAATAGATAATTCATATGTGTGTGTATATCTCTATCTATATATAGATATAGATAACTTTTACCATGTGCCAGGCACTGTCCTGGCTTGTAATGTAATGTTTTAAGCCAGAGATCAGTGATTGGAAGCTTATACTGTATTATGTATTTGGTTTCTTAGGAAAAGCTGCCCAAAATTAACATACTTTTAGTTATGTATAATAAAGTAACATAGATGATATTGTTACCATTGTATGTTACATTTATTTTACAATTATATTTTGTGTTATTTATAGAGGTTTAAATTCTCTCAGAAGATTACAGGTAGAGTTACTGCTAGACATTAATTATTGCCAGCACCATCATTGACTTATTTGCTGGTACATGGGTCTTTATAAGTGAATGATTTAATTTAATATATAAAATCAAGAGCTTTATGAAGAAAATTCCTACAATGGTACCACTTTTCACTGCTTAAAAATAGAATTGTTGGGAAGTGGATATAACACATGATTTCTTTAAATTTGTTAAAAATTTGAACTAAAAGTTACAGGATTAATTCTGTTAATATCTATTCTTATTTTTAAGGGTTCTGATGACTGCCTTGTGAAGATCTGGGCAACAGATGATGGGAGGTTATTAGCTACTTTAAGAGGACATGCTGCTGAAATATCAGACATGGCAGTAAACTATGAGAATACCATGATTGCAGCTGGAAGTTGTGATAAAATGATTAGAGTCTGGTGTCTTCGAACCTGTGCACCTTTGGCTGTTCTTCAGGGCCACAGTGCATCTATTACATCTCTACAGGTAATTGCTTTAATCCTTATTAGAAACTTTTTGGTTATAGTCTAAAGTAAGTTTTGTTTTGTTTTGTTTTGTTTTGGTTTTGGTACTGGGGATCGAACTCTCAGGGCCAGGCAGGTGCTGCGCCACTGAGAGAAATTCCTGGCCCAATTTAAAGTAAGTGTTGTCACTTTAATAATTACATTAGGTTCACTAAAGCAAAGAAAGAAACATTTATGCTTTATAAATGACACGAGCTTTGGATGTCATGATACGCATGATTTATTTTGGGTGTTTTCTTTTGTTGTTTATTACTGGGATAGTAAAAGTGGGTTTTATTGTTTGTAATGTATCACTTCTGTAAACCTTTTCTTCATGCAATTGTTTTTCAGTT